GCGCGTTTTTGTGACAAATGAGGACATACATTTGTATAATGACAAAGGTATGACAGGTATTACGAGGAGAAGGTGACTTTTCAGGACATTACCCCATGTCCCCACTTTTCAAAACGCTTATAAATCACACAGAATGGAGTGTATTGAAAATCTGAAATAGCACAAAGTCTCCTGTGAGGGGTAGGTTTAGGGGTAGGGTTGGTGTAGGGCAATAGAATATACGGTCTGTACAGTATAAAAACCATTACACCTATGGGATGTCCCCACTTTTCACAAAAACAAACCTGTGTGTGTGTGTGTGTGTGTGTGTGTGTCTCTGAGAGAGAGAGAGAGAGAGAGAGAGAAGGTGAGGGTTAGAACGAGAGACAGAGGGACTTTTCATACTTAAACCTCTGGTTAGTCATCGTTGCCCCCAGAATAATGTAAAGCATTTTTATTGTCAACTGAAACTATAGTAAATGTTTATTTTTTATAAAGTATGTTGTATATAATCACATTTTATTTATTTAAATGAAGATAATGATGTGTTTTATAAGTTCAATAAACTTAAATAAATGTTAAATATATTTTTTAATTGCATGATGAATGATTTGCTTTAGTAGCACGATAGTAAAACATGGCCTCATATATAATTATTTGTTTCCATATTTTTTAAAATAGAAATGAGTCTCTCTTTAGTTTGTAATTTTTATGTATGTGTGTGCTTGTTTATATGATTTATCAGAACACAAATTTGTATAATGACATGAGTATTACACTGATATAACAAGGTAAATGTGGTTTATGATGACATTTCTTGAGTTGCCATAATTCAGATCGCTTAAAAACAATATTTAATTAAAAATGTAAGCACATGCAGAATTGTTTTGTGTGATGGTAGGTGTACAGTAAAAAAAATAATACGTAATTATACGGCTTTTTAAAATGATAAATTATACTACATGATGTTTATAAAAATATAAAAATGTAGAATGTTTACTGTTACGGTAGGTTTAGGGGATGATGTATAAAAATCATTAATATAATGTAAATGTAAATATAAAAGGTTATAAATATAATGTAGAAGCTTACATTTTTCTGTGAAACTGCATTGCGACGATTTGTTTTGTGAAAAAGTTATAAAAAATTAATGTGAATTGAATTGAATTGAATTGTGCCTATGGAAAGCCTTGATAAAACATGACGATGACATGTCAGGGGATCCTGATAACCCTTATCGTTTGGCCTGTTAAAATATATATATTTTTCCCAATCCTGGTAAAATGTACGACGTTTTTATATTTTTAGTGACGACTAAAACTAGTGTAAATGTTTTGCTTTTTTTTATATAATATGCGATAGCCTAATTCATTTAATTTCATTTAAAAGAAGAGAATAAGACTTGGGGTGATTGAATGTGCACGCGTGCGTGTGAGAGAGAGAGAGAGAGTGAGAGAGAGAGAGAGAGATTTTGAAAAAAGCTTTATTTACAAATACTCAAAAACTCTGCACAAAGACTTAAAAACTATGCATACAGCAAACACATTAAAGAAAACAGAACACCATGAGATTATAAGGAAAACACCAAGACATCTTCAGATAATGACTAGGGGAGCGCGGGGCATAAAGTAACGCGGGGTTAGTGGTAACACACATGGTTTGAATATTTCCACACATGCTAGCATAACAAAATGTACAATATTTATTAGTTACCATATCAACATTATATATAAAAAGAAAAGTGTGCCAAAATTCAAAAATCTTTTGAAGATATCAATGAACATTTATTTTTTTTAAATTCTGGCTCAAGTAAATTTTTCATCTCTGTTTTTATTAATCATTTAAAATTAGACAAATCTGCTATTATTTTAATCTCCAATCTGTTATTTATCAGTTTAGATTATTTTTTAATGCTTCGCTAACTAGCAGAAGACACTAACCAGTTTTAAACTCCAGTTGCGCAGATGGGGTATGTTGTAACACTGTGTTACAATGCTCTATTCTATAACATTAGTGATGTAATTTACACTATTTACTTTAATGAATTGTAATGAGAAACAACGAGAAACAGGTGAATAAAGACTGACAGTCAATTTGTTCAAGCGTGGAAAGATCTTTCATAGCTCTATACAAATTAAAGTCAATCAACACTCTAGATTTGACCAAAGTCAGAAAACACACATTAACATCATCACTAGAACTTCGTTCAATCTTATTTTTCCGGCTAATATACACGCCCAACTTTGCTTGTCCTCAAATAAAATTCAACAATTGGCAGACAAAACGTTTTTTCTGAAAATATTTAAAACCCAAAATAAAAGTCTCAATCGAAAAACTTGCATTAAACCTACCAAACAATTATTTTAGCTTCACAAATAAAGGTTCTAATCTAAAACAGTGCATGAAAGCATGAAAAATAGTTTCTCTTTGGAGACAGAAAGGGCATTCAGGATCAGCTTCTGGGTTCATTACAGAGATAAAAGAGTTAACAGCAATGGCATCATGCAAAACCCTCCATTGTATATCACCTACACTTTTCGACAATGGTGGCTTATATAAAGATCTCCATTCGGGTTTTGCATCATTGTTCAAACTGAAAACAGAACGCCATGGTGTATCAATTCTGCTAACAAAAGACTTCTTATTAAAGACCAAAACACAGGCTCTGTACAGTTTTTTACTTTCACATGGCAAGAAATCTAAAACCAAAGATTCACATGATTTTAAAAGAAAATTAGGCCTATGTTCTCATCAAGAATGGGTTGCACAAATAAACAGGGAAAGGGATCCTCAATATAAGGAACACTAGATAAGAAAATTAGCATCTCGCTCAAAAATGACCAAATAATTTTTCCTATTTAAAACTGGACTCTTCTGTAGTTACATCGTGTAGTAAGACCGACGAAAAATGAAAAGTTGCGATTTTCTTGGCCGATATGGCTAGGAACTATACTCAAGGTATAATAAAGGAACTTTGCTGCCGTACTATACACTGTGTTTATGTGTTTAGTATTTGTAATCTAATTTTGATAATCAACCACAACCATCAGGACATATCTGAAAGCTCATCTTTTCCACAACCACAAGCAAAGCAACCTCCTATAAATAAATTATGTTCACAGAAAATTATTTTCTCTTTTGCTTTTCTGCACTTTCACTTTAGCTTATTTTGCTAGGGCGTTTCTAGGATTTAAATATATATGTGTATGTAGTCAAATTAATATGCCTTAGGAAAAGGGAAATATATTATTTTAAGATATTTTAAGATATGTCAGTTGCAAGTTGCTTTCAGTTAAGAGAGCTCAAACATGCATTTTAGGTTTAAGCCTTGTCTGTCAAACTGGGCATTAATATATTGTTTGTGTAAATGGACCACACTTTCATTACTATGTTTCTCAACAAACA